AGCGCAGAGCCCAAAGCGGGGCTCAAACCCACAAACTGTGACATCATGACCTGAGCCGAAGTTGGACGCTTAACCAGCCGGGCCACCCGGGTGCCCCCCTTCTCCCTCTTTCTAATCTTTTCCAAATACAACGTAACCCTGTCAAGGACAGTGTGCTGGGTATTCACTGATAACGAAGCAAGTGCACTCAGATATTAGACAACCGACTCATTCTTGTCCCATGCGGGGATGGGGAGGGGGGAGTATTCACCATTGTGCCCCTTGCTGGACACACACAGCAGGGTGTGCCGGCCAGCTGTGCCCATGCCAAAGCCTACGAGATACAGGAAGCTGCCAGGCCACGAGTTGGTAGGCCCGTGGATGTAGGAAATTACACCTTCACGTGTACATAAAATATGTTTAGGAAACGGAGGCTGAGGGGTCCTGCCGTACAACGAGTAGTCTGAATGGTCTTCGTTCAACGGTTATGTCATTCGTTACGTGGTGCAAATCTACAACCCGTTATGTTTTTAAATTTTGCAATCCACCCTTTCAGCATGAGTTCAGAAACTAAAGTGCTTAGTTAATGTGCAATTAAATACCATATTTGTTACTCAAGAAAATTGATCATGAATGTGTAACACGAACAAAGCACTTGTCCACGTTTATCACCTACATCGATGTCACTGACCCCTTGAAAACCAGAAGACATAAATCTGCAGAAACGGCGTCAGCATCTACCTCAAAGGTTTGTACTTATTTTAAGAAGACTGTGCTCAAAGATGAGGATTTCAGGGGATGCAGCTGCCGAGAGGGTATTTATCTATTGCTCTGTGAACTTGTTTTGATCCAATGACTTCTCTGCAAAATTCACTTGCTCGTTTCGATTTCAGGTTTCCTTGTACATGACAAAGAGTGAACCAATAAATAGCTTTAAATGAGGAGCTCTGTTAGCAGAAGGACTTCACAGTTAAATGATGCCACTTATGTGATGTCATCTATATCATTAGATGCTTCAAATAGAAAATGAGTTGAATTAGGGTTCTCCAGAGAAAGAGAACTAATGGGATGGGTGTGTGTATGAGAGAGAGAAAGAAAGAAAGAGAGAGAGAGAGAGAGAGAGAGAGAGAGAGAGAGAGAGATTTATTTTAAGCAATTGGCTCACACGATTGTGGAGGCTTCTTCCCAAGTCCAAATTCTGGTGGGGTAGGCCAGCAGGCGGGGCAACTCAGGGAGGAGTTGCTGTTCTGGTCCAAATACAGTCTGCTGTATGATTGCATGAGGCCCACCCACATCGTGGAAGGTAATCTGCTCTACTCATTTAAAATGATTTAAATGTTAATCTTCTCCAAAAACCACCTTCCCCGAAACTTCCAGAATAATGTTTGTCCAGCTATCTGGGCACCGTGGCCCAGCCAAGTTGACACATAAAATTAACCGTCACGTTAATGAATTCCAATACTTCTTCACTATTGCATCCAGCTCATGGAATCAAAGCAAAGCTTACAGAAATTTATTCTGATGAGGGGGAACTATACAAGGTTATTGAGAAAGCTACTGTAAATTCAGTTTAAACATTCAACATTTATGGGGCACCTGGGTGGCTCAGTAGGTTAAGCATCCGATTTCGGCTCAGGTCATGGTCTCACGGTTCATGGGTTCAAGCCCTGCGTCGGGCTCTGTGCTGACAGCTCAGAGCCTGGAGCCCGCTTCAGATTCTGTGTCTCCCTCTCTCTCTCTGACCCTTTCCCGCTCACACTCTGTGTGTGTGTCTCTCTCTCAAAAATAAATAAATAAAATAAACATAAAAAAATAAAAAAAATTCAACATTTAGGGTGAGTATTTTGGTGGTGATTATTTTTTTCATAGAAATACAAATTTGGTGGAGAAAAAAAGACAAAATTATTTTGTCTCTATGAAAGTTTTATTTTCTGTAATAATGAGTAACAATTATTATTTTCTTGACTTCTTTTTTGGTTTCAAGACTATTATAATTTTATTTTATTTTTTATTTTTGAAGACAATTATAATTTTAAAATAACACATTTTGATTTAAAATTTTTTTTTCAACGTTTATTTATTTTTGGGACAGAGAGAGACAGAGCATGAACGGGGGAGGGGCAGAGAGAGAGGGAGACACAGAATCGGAAACAGGCTCCAGGCTCCGAGCCATCAGCCCAGAGCCCGACGCGGGGCTCGATCTCACGGACCGCGAGATCGTGACCTGGCTGAAGTCGGACGCTTAACCGACTGCGCCACCCAGGCGCCCCCACATTTTGATTTTAAATATATTGTCCAAATTCAGCAAAATATTTCACGTGAACCAGATTTTCACTTACCAAATAAAAGTATCACATCTTACAAATGGCACTGTTTGCTGTTTTAACTTTTTCTTAAGTTTTTTTAATTCATTTTGAGAGAGAGATAGAGAGAGAGAGCACGGGCAGGGGAGGGACAGAGAGAGGGAGACAGGATCTGAAGCGGGCTCTGCACTGACAGCACAGGGCCCGATGTGGGGCGCGAACCCACAGACCATGAGATCATGACCTGAGATGAAGTCAGATGTGCTTGACCAACTGAGCCGCCCACCTGTCCCCGCTGTTTAAAATTTTAAACACTAATAAAAGCTCCAAGTCGTCCTAGAATGACAGGAATGAAATGATAGTACTGTTTCTTTGTCTTTAGAATCACCAGGCTATCACTGTTTAGTTCAAGCCTCTGTGACAATACGGGGGTATGTGCTACCACAGGTGTTGCGGAAAGAAACTGCAAGCCACAAACAAACTGGAAGGGCTCTGAAGTGTTGGGACACCTAATTTAGACACAAATGTGGGTAGTCGAGTCCACATGTCAGGGGCCAAATGTATAACTAGAAGTGCTCTGAATGAACTCTCGGTGGAACGCAGTGTTTGGTAAAAGGATAAGTAATAAACATGTGCTGATATGAACTTCAAAGTCTATGTCCAAAGAAGTGCATTCGTATGTTTACCAAAAGATATGTAAAGATACATACAAAATGTTCATAGCAGCCCTATTTGTAACAAACCAAACCTGGAAACTGCCCACATGCCCATCAACAGGAGAATGGATGTCTTAGAGACTAGAAGGATAAACAGAGTGAAAACTTGGTTAAGGCAAGTTTAAGGCACTTGTTGTGGAAGGAGGGGGGGGGAGTGGGGGTCAGAGAGAGAGGGAGACACCGAATCGGAAGCAGGCTCCAGGCTGTCCGCACAGAGCCTGACACTGGGCTCGAACTCACAAACCATGAGATCATGACCTGAGCTGTGACCTGAGCCAAAGTCCGATGGTTATGGACTGAGCTACCCAGGGGCCCCTGAACTTTTTTTGGAGCAAGGGCTATGCTATGCACTCTTGCGTTATTTTGTTTAATCCTTGCCATGCCCTGTGATGGAGATATTAGCCTCATTTGACATATAAGGAAACTGAGGCACACTGAGGTCAAGGATTCTGCCCAAGGTATAAACTTGGGATTTAAACTCAGATCTTCCTCAATCCAAAGGCCATATGTACCTTTTCCATTATAGTCTGTTTTCTTTCCATGATAGATAGGGAAGGCAGAGAAATTTGGACAGTATGGTGTTCACACACTCATACATTCTAAAATTATAACTGCTACTATTTCTTGAGCACCTACTATGAGGCGAGTACCATGCTAGGTACTTTACATAAATTGTCTTTACAATTCTCATAACCCTTCATAGCAAGAATTATTATTCTCAGTTTTTAGATGAAGAGACTGAGGCTCAGAGAAATTCAATGACTTGACCAGTTTCACAAATCTCTTACCATCACGTATCTCTCGGCAGCCTTAACAGGGGCCACCAACTGTGTGCCAGGCACTATGGTGGGTTCTGGAGTCGTACGAACGCTAGGAATGAACAACTGTTGTTTGCTTACCCGACCTATTTGAGAGTAGGGTAAGATTCCTGTCCCCAGTTCCATACAGGGACTTGTGGAGGCAAAAATAAAGATCAGTAATGGTGACAGTTCCCATTTACTGATTATGCAACGTCCTAGGTACTGTACCACACACACACACACACACACACACACACACACACACACACACACACAGGGATACCATGTCTAATTCTCACAACGATCCTGTTAATACCCTCATTTAACTGAGACGAAAAGAGAGGCTCAGTCAGTCTGATTTGCACAAGGTCACAGAGCAGTTAGGTGTCCCCCGTCCGATTTGCACCCTGACCTGCTGACTCTAGGGCTCTTGGTCTCAACTCTCACACCCAGTTAAAGATGTTTGGTAGAATTAGTAAAACGGAATCCGCAATGCAGTCCAGAGTCTTGGGAAGGGGGCGCCGGGCGACAGAAGCACGTGGTGACGGCAAGCCGAAAAGCCGGCGCCCAGTTTAGGGGCACTAGGAAGAAACCGGGCGGAGGCAGGTGTGGGGAGCCAGGAGCCCTCAGGCTGGGAGACCCAGGGAAAGCTGGACGGAGGCTGCGCACCAGGAGTCTCCGCTCCTTCCGGAGGAAAATTCCCACCTCCGGCGCGTGGAAACCCGCAGGCGCCGGCAGAGGCGCCCGGGCGGTCTGTGGGCGGAGCCTCGGGGGCGGGCGGGGCCGGTTTTGCCTT